GGTTGCTGTGCTGGGGGAGGCGGAGCTGCAAGTGCTTGAGGCAATCTTGCCTGTTCTTCTCTTGTCCTGGCTTCATCAATAAGGTCCCTCAGATGGCCTTGCCTTACCAAGTCTTCTAAGTGTACTTTTAAGGCTCTGGCAACCCTGAGTTGGGTGTCCTTCTTCATTATGGTAAGCACAGCGCCTACCAACGTTTCTTCCCATAAATTTCCCTGGTGCTCTTGCCGGTGCCCTGAAATAGGGTTGATTTCGTATTTGGTCCAGGACTTTATGGATAGGAATTCGGAACACCGTTGTCACTGCCTGTTTACCCTTCAATTCTGTTTCTTGTTTGGTCGGCCCGTTGGTACCTCGGCCTCACTTCGGCGAGCCGTTTCCCTTCTCTTACTTTATCTCTTTGTTTCCCGACGTATCTTCCTCGGCTCTGACGTACTTCTCGATTCTCGCCATGAGTTCCTCCATGCTTTTTGGCAATGTTTTTGCCAAAGATTTCCGTAGTGGGCAGTCATCTTTCAGGCCATTCTTGAAAGACACGACCGCCACTTCTTGGTTGCATTCGGGTATTCGATTGAACACCTCGTAGTACCTCTTCGCGTAGGCCCTAAGGCCTTCTTCCTTGGTGATTCTTAAAGCCATCAGGGCGTCGACCCTTAAGGACTGTAGTTTGTTTGTTACAAACCTGGCCACAAACATCTCGGCCAGGCCTTCCCATGCCTTTATGCTTCCCTTTGGTAGTTTATGGAACCAATTAGATGCAATTTCCCCAAAGGATGAGGGAAATACTTTGCAGAGCAACTTTATGCTTCCCTTCGGTAGTTTATGAAACCAATCAGATGCAATTTCCCCAAAGGATGAGGGAAATACTTTGCAGAGCAATGGCTCGTTCCCACTGTATAATGCTATTGAGTTTAGGTATAGTCCAACATGAAAGTTGGGATCTGACTTACCATCATAAATTTGGAACCTTGGCATACTGAATCTCTTTGGTGCTTCAAATTTGTCCAGTTCCACCGAGAACGGTGTTCTCGGCTTAACTGGGGATGTCACCTCGGCTTCAACATTCTGCTGCCTCCTTTTGAGGTAATCCCTCAAGTCTTCCTTACTCCTACCTGGAGCTCGGCTATCTCTGGACTTCAATCTTTTTGGCACACTACTTTCGGCCTCGTGGTGGGCCCGTTTCGATCTTTCTCCATGGGTTGTGTCAAAGCAGAGTGCCTGCCCTTGAACATGCCGATGTTCTTTGGGCCCTAGATCCTTCATTCGATGTGTCCTTCGGGACTCTTCTTGCCTCGGCTCCTCTCGTCCGACTTCCCTGGAAGGTCGGTGTGAGTGCCTTCCACTCCTGGTGTGCTGAGGGGCTTCGAGGATTGCCTTCCTTCCTCCCTTCTGGGTGTTAATTGGTGGCATCGGCATATCTTGCAGCGGGTATGGTGGCTGCATAACATTGTTTTGCATCATGAAGTTGACCAGTGACTGTAGGTCTGCCAACTTGTTTGCCAAGTCTTTTACTTCCTCATCTCTCCGTAGGCACCTATCCCTCCATACCTGAAGGTTATCTTCGTTATAATACTTGCTTTGGTCTGTTCGCTTCGAAGTACCGCCCTTCTGGTCGACGTCTTTCTCTCCGTGACCCTGGTCATGATTTTCTGTACTGTGGTTGTCTCCTTCAACGTCAAGATCAATTGGTCTGGCACTCCTAGCAGGAGTGTCGCCCCCAATGTTTTCTCTCTGTCTGTCACTGGCCATCTATTCTTCTAAGACTCCCACAGACGGCGCCAAATTGTGTGGGTAATTTTCTTACCACACTGCCCGCCTAGTAATCAACTGGAGAGCACCGGCAGAATAGATGGCTTCAGTGAACCTGCAACAGAAAGAAAAGGCTCCGGCGGTGGCTCTTCCACCCGGGGGCACTCCGACGATCAAGTCAGTATATCTCTCAAAGATAATCAAGTGCTAAACTCACAAGCTTGAGTATAAAACTGCATACCTTAGACCCACGGGGGTGCCTCTCTTTTATAGTTTACTCAATCCAAGTCCTACTAGAAGCCTGACTTCTATGGACTCCAATTTAGTACTTACTTTGGATTCCTCAAGAGATAAAGATAAACTCCCTAAGAGCTTTATCCTTATCTTAGCAAAAGTCTTCTCAACGTCAAGATCAATTGGTCTGCCACTCCTAGCAGGAGTGTCGCCCCCAATGTTTTCTCTCTGTCCGTCACTGGCTATCTATTCTTCTAAGATTCCCACAGACGACGCCAAATTGTGTGGGTAATTTTCTGACCACACTGCCCGCCTAGTAATCAGCTGGAGAGCACCGGCAGAATAGATGGCTTTAACAAACCTGTAACAAAAAGAAAAGGCTCCGGCAGTGACTCTTCCACCCGGGGGCACTCCGACGATCAAGTCAGTATATCTCTCAAAGATAATCAAGTGCTAAACTCACAAGCTTGAGTATAAAACTGCGTACCTTAGACCCACGGGGGTGCCTCTCTTTTATAGTTTACTCAATCCAAGTCCTACTAGAAGCCTGACTTCTATGGACTTCAATTTAGTACTTACTTTGGATTCCTCAAAAGATAAAGATAAACTCTCTAAAAGCTTTATCCTTATCTTAGCAAAAGTCTTCTCTTTTCTCTAGGACTCTTGTCTCTTATCTGATTATCTCGGATTCCGATATCTTCGGAGATAACCTCGGCCTAGCCAAGATAACTTCGGCACAACTACCACGACACGTGGCATGTCGGCTGACACGTCGACGTCACCATGCCACGTGTTGGTACTCAGAAAATATATCCCCACAATATATTAAAATATGCTAGTGTGTTTTATCATTATATATTATTGCGTACTCATATACTACTCTATTAATTTTGTTTGCTTTACTCTTATTAAAAATAAATTAAAAATAAATCAATAACCGTGGAGGCTTTCCTCACCTAGTTGTCGGTCGGAAGAGTCCTCTAGTCTAATCAAAACGGAAAATATAATATAGAATCAAATGTTTGGTTATTATTTTATACCTGACTTACTACTTTGTCTTTCTTTTATAGGCTAAGGACATTCTGTCAAGTTGAAATTTAATTGTCTATCATAATTATTAGATATTAAGCGACCAAAATTTTATATACATTTTTTTCATTATCTGAAAAAGTTTGGCCCAAAGAGGAAGGAGATCCCATAAATCGAAACTAGAGCTTTTTTAATTGGAGAACACTCAAGATAGTTTACCCACCCAAAAAGAACACTCAAGATAGCCGATCACAATTATTGGCCACAACAAGCGCAACGCGGCTAATCTGCCAAAATAACATCTAACAAAGAATCATTCTTCTGATGAGAAAATAAGATATTTTAATAGTTTACGATAGTGTCAATTGTTAAGTATCATTTAATTATAAAGGGACACAATACCACCACAAATGGGACACATAAGGAAAACGCATATACACAACTAAAATATTCATGATATAGAAGGATCCCCAACCAATAGGGAGATCCTTGATTTTGAGTTTCTCTTGCAGATCACAACGGGATGTATTATTTGACTAAATTCCAGTGAAGACAGATTTTTACTATCTAATTTTGGATCTGCTCTTGGACCGATACCAAGCCTTTAGGCGTTCGTGAAGTCTCTTCATTTTGGACCTTTCTCTCCGCACTTCAGATTTGGATCGGCCCAAATCATGAAATTTTAGGTCCCATACCGGATATTAATTTTGATCTGGGTTTTTTTGGGCTGTAAACGATACATGAGAAAAGCTAAAGTGGCCCTTCACTTTTATGGGCCAGTGTTGGCTCGGTTTAGATTTAGAACGCAGTGCAGTGAGCGTGTTTGGTTTGTGTTTGAAACATTTTTTTGAAAAAAAATTTCTAAACGTATGTTTGGTTACAAATTTTTTTTAAAAAATTTTAAAATTACTTTTCTGTCTATTATATTATATATCAATCAATTATTTTTCCTCCTCTTCCTCTTTTTCAATCATTTTTTCTCTCATATATATTTATTCAATTATAACAAAATATCAAATAATTCCAAACTCTCAAATTTCAAAACTATGTTCAAAATATATAACCAAACAAACCAAAAAAATTTCAAAACTCTTTTCCTAACTTTTTTTTAAAAAAATTTATCTCAAAACACAAACCAAAATACAAAATTACTGGTCCCACTGACGTGGCACTCTCTGTTTCTCTCTCCTACCAAGCACACGGACGGAGTAGCAGCAGGCTCACGTGATACTGCCTGCGAGTCAGCGACATCACCAACAAAATGCAACCCAAAATCTAATCTGAAATCCAACTGTTAAACTATCTAATCCCGAATAATAGTTCTCTTTCACTTATGCTAACTCGTTTGGGATCAGGTTAATTTAGTAACTTTTTGACTATTTGGTTAAAAAAGTAGGTAAAAAAAATTTATATGTTTGGGATAATTTTTTGGCTAATTATGAAAAGATGTGTAAAAAGTAGAGAGAAAAGAGAATTTTGACTTTTTGGTATGAATTGTTGACTTTTTGGCTAATTTAGTAACTTTTTGACTAATTGACTAAAATAGCATCTTGCCAAACGAGGATTCTCATTTTAGGTAAAAAAATAAAATTAATTTCTATTTAATATTAAATAAAAAATACTTATAATATGATAAAAAAATATTATTATATTAAAATTTATGTTTAAAGTAAAGGGGTTAGTTAAACAATATTAAGAATTTTAATTATCAAATATTCTACCTAATACAAGATTTAAGTTTCACTCTCACATAACTATTTAGTATAATATTTAACAATTTGTTCAAAATTTTTAATATTTTTAATGTAAATTATGTATAGTAAATTTTTTTTTTTATTACGTGATTAATATGTCATTTTTATCTAGTTTTAAAAAATAAATTATGAAAAAACTTAGAATTTGATTTACCCTCCCATTTTTTCACATATGATTTCCTAATTTCATTTCAATAATACCCATAAACACATATTAATTATTTGTTATTATCCTCATAGTCAGTCATCTCTCTCTCTCTCTCTCGTAAATTCCTCCAAAATTCAGCGGAATCTCCAAAGCTTCTGCTTACTAAAACCAGACTCTCAATTTCACAACCAAATTCGCAAACATTTGCAGAGGGACAAAGCTCATCGACGATCGTCTTTTCATCTCAGACTCTTTCTGTCACTGCTATTTCAGCTCTCTATTCGGTAATTTCGCTCTTGATTCTGTGTTTTTTTCGTTGTTTTGATCTCAATCTCTACTTATTTTCACAAGTATATATTGATTAGGTCGTATTTTTCAATATCAGCATTGTCTTCAATTCTTTATACCCAAAAACACACATTACTTATTTTCACTGCTCTCCCTCTCTCTCTCTCTCTCTAGAGGCACACACAAACACGCACTCTCTAGCTCTCTCTCTCTCTAGACTAGTATTTAATTTTTGTTTGGCTTGTTTGTTGACTTTTTGTGGTGTTATTATTGGGATCTATGACAGTCGCAACTGTAAAAATGCAAGCCGCAACATATGCAGGCAAAGGAAGTACATGTTTTGACAATCAGAAGCGTAGGGTTTTACCGGGTTTTAGTGAATTGAGGAAGAGAGGTTTAGGTTTCAACAATCTTCGCATGACAGAGAGGTCTTCTTGCTTCGGATTGCGCCTCGGTTCGGCTGCTATGGAGGCCGAGCTTGGCCGTGTCCGGACGGGCGTTGACAGAGTGTTTCGGTCCTCGGCTAAGGCCAGATCAGTCAGGGCTCAAGCTTCTGCTGGTTTGTTCTTCAGTTTTGATCTTGATTGTTGATTTCAATTGCTCTAATAATGATCTGCAAATTTGATGATGAAGTACAATTAAATTTGGCATTCTGTGTGCCAGTGTTGAATGTTATTTGAATAAGTCATTTGCTAGTTGTTATTCACTTTGTCATTGTCGAAGTTGTCTATTATGCCTTTGTTTGACAAATTTGCATTTCCAAAGTTTTTGAATTCTATGTTGAAATCATGATGCGTATAAAAATTAAATAATTTACAATTTATTGCATCGAATGGCAATTCAGGAAAGGGGAATGGAAGTTTTTTCTGTTGCAAGTCTTGTCTTGTCAAGTTGTGAATGGGTTTGAATTGTTTGATTCTGCTTATTTATTGACTTTTCCTGAGTATTGAACATAAATGAATGCATGATTCTATTGTATTTATCCACCACACTCCTTTTTAAACATTATGGACGCTAGAGCAATGTCACTGGGATTCCTCATTTCATTTGGGCTTTTAATTCCATTGATGTGGGCTTTCAAACTTGTTAATTCCATTGTAAACACTATTGTAAGAATTATGGATCAGGAGACGGAGTTCAGTAGAGAGTTACAAATGTGCCACTTCAGGCTGCAATTGTGTGGCCTGGGATGAGTGGATCTGTATATACTATGTTTATGCTCTTCAATTTTAAAATTCCTCCATACAGTGAAAAAATCTGATGTTGTTTGTTTGTGGATTGTAGTATATTGGAGTATTCACTCGCTATTTTTTGACAAGTATCACGTGACCTTATTTGTAGATGGAGATATGGAAGATCTTGTTCCTGCTAAAATCCAAGCGAAATCTTCTGGAAATGTTTTGCCTTATGTTGGTGTTGCCTGCTTGGGTGCCATTTTGTTTGGATATCATCTAGGGTATGTCTTCGTTTAAGTACTTCTTTTTCTCTTCCTTCAAACCTGTCAGTTCAAGAGTTTATCATCAATCACCATTTGCGCAATACTTGCCATAGTACTTGTGCTTATAACTTAAACTACTGGCTGTGCCTTTCTGGTCAATTTGTGAATTCATGTTGGATGTTGTTGTCCAACCATTTCCCACGTTATTTACTTGAATACACTAGAGGTACACTGATAACTTGTGCTCATCTGCATCAGGGTGGTGAATGGTGCTCTTGAATACCTCTCTAAGGATCTCGGAATTGCTGAAAACACTGTCATACAAGGCAAGTTTTGATTGGATATCTGATGAGAACCTGAATTATGTTTGTGCGCTGTTCTTTATTTACATGTTAACTTGTTTTTAGACTAAGAGATGTTTTCTCCGTATTCTATGGAAAATGGACCGTCCTTGTCTAAAGCTTTTGTACTATCCATTGACAAATGCAGTTTTTCATGCTTTTGGCTGGCTACAGCTGAATGAAAAATCACTATTCATTATTTATCTAAAAAGAAAAAAGAAGAAGCTATTCATCAACCTCTAGTCATACTTACCCTTTTGTTTCATATTATAAATAACTTGCAATACTGCATTTTTTTTCCTATTAAACTTTTGTGTGGGGACCATTTTTACAATTTATCATTTTTGTTATGGTTTGATAGGATGGATTGTTAGCACTCTTCTTGCTGGTGCCACTGTTGGTTCATTTACTGGGGGCGCATTGGCTGACAAGTTTGGCAGAACAAAAACTTTTCAACTGGATGCAATTCCACTTGCTGTAGGAGCATTTCTTTGGTCGGTTTCTTTGTTATTGCTGATGAGGTTGTGATCTTTGGTTAGATTTGATCAGAACTAATTCAAAAATGGTGTCAAAATCATTCAGTGCCACAGCCCAGAGTGTGCAGACAATGATAATCGGCCGTTTACTTGCTGGAATTGGAATTGGCATCTCATCTGCTATTGTGCCACTTTACATATCTGAGGTAGTAACGACTCATTTTAATTTCAATTTTATGTCTATATTTTTTGAATACCTTTTCATTTTTCATCTAACACACTTTCTAATGGTTAGATCTCACCAACTGAAATTCGTGGCACACTTGGATCTGTCAACCAACTTTTTATCTGTATTGGGATTCTTGCAGCATTGGTGGCTGGGTTGCCCTTAGCAGGAAACCCTTTATGGTATTTTTTCTTTACCTGATATATCTAAATCACAGGAAGGAAGCTTTCATGCTTAGTGAGATGTGAACCTGCCAGATAAGTTCATAAACACTGTTGAGATATCTTGCCAAGTCTAATATTGCATATAACTGTGTTTTCCTACACCTTTCAAGCTGCCAAAAGTAGGGGGTTATGTAGATGTTCTGCCTAATTAAATGATTACATCAATTTGGCCTTGAAAAATGGTCCTTCTCTCGTTAAATAATTGACTTCCAAGACATTACGTCTGCGTAAGGAACGAGGACCAGTTACTGAATAGGAGCCCCTGGAATACCATGAATCATTATGCTTGTTTTTGGTTTTCCAAAAACACTTTTCAGAAAATTCTACTTTCTTGTTTTCCGTGTTTTTTTTTACTTATTTTTTAAAATATTTTAAGCAATTTTTTTAATTTTTAGACACACCTAACATAAATACACATAAAAAGTATAGGGTTCGTTTGGTTTGAATTTCCCAAAAATTTTTGGGAAAATTTCTCTACAAATGAGTTTTCAGAAAAACTCAAACCAAACAAATTTTCTCAAAAAAAATTTCCCAAAACTTGTAAACCAAACAAGTTTTCCAAACAAATCTCTCTCTCATAAACATCAAATCAATCACTTTTTCTAAAACTCTCTCTCAAAATAATTTTCCAAAACATCTTTCCAAAAAAATCAAACCAAACAACTTTTCGTACTTTTTATCTCCCAAACTCATCTCCCAAAATCAAACCAAACAAGCCCATAATTTTTGTGAAAAAAATCTTTTAAAAATTCACTAAATACACTAAACACCAAAAATATATATAAAAAAAAAAAACGAGAATTCAATATATTTTTCGTATTTTTATGTATTTATTAATTTTTTAAAATATTTTTTCACAAATTTTTTACTTTTTAGATACATCTAAGTAACGTACATCTAAAAAAGTAAAAAAAATGCTTAAAATTTTAAAAATATTCACAAAAAACAAAAAACTCAGTTTTCAAAAAATTTAATTCAAAAAACTTAAACTAAACACACACATTAGTGCAGTTCAAGTGTGGAATTGTTATTTGGAATATCCGAATATCACATGTTAACAAATTTGAGGCATGTTAAAAAAGAGTTTATTATATATCATGTCTACTGGACAGGAGGTCCAGTTGATGCCTGCCCCTGTTTGAGAATGATATCGGTATCTGTATAATATTTGGTTTTCCCAAGCTGGTTGTTGTACAACAATTATTGTTGTTGTTACCATCCCTTCTCTCTCTCTTATTATCTTCTAACTGCAACTTTTATCAGGTGGAGGTCAATGTTTGGTATTGCAATGATACCCTCTGTTCTATTGGCATTGGGAATGGCATTTTCTCCAGAAAGCCCTCGGTGGCTTTATCAGGTTTTCTTTGCTACTGTTTAGTGACATTTGGCTGCAATATTTGTATGTACAATTTTTATTTGATCAAATGTGTTTATTTTAGGTTATTGGCTCATTGGTAATGGTTCTAAGCTAGACAAATTTGTTTGCAGCAAGGAAAAATTTCTCAAGCTGAAATGTCCATAAAAACTCTATTTGGAAAAGAAAAAGTTGCTGAGGTTATGAATGACTTAAGTGCAGCTAGTCAAGGTTCTTCAGAACCAGAAGCTGGTTGGTTTGATCTTTTTAGTAGCCGCTATTGGAAAGGTATACCTGGAAAATAAGGGAAGCTATTTATTAGATCACAAGCATAAGACGTGGATCTTAGAAGCTATAATTAATCATCTGCAATATTTACAGTGATGCTAGACCCACCATTATATATGCCCTGGATACTTCATTTTACTGGCCAAATAAGTATGGCTAGCTCATTTGTTTATGTTGGACTGGTAGAAAATCATTCGAATGTATTTATCCTTATGTTATCCTTTACCACCTTTTATTTGTTAGATGCTTGCCTTCTTGCTACTTGTGTAGGATATATAAGGTCCTTATAGAGCTCTAAGTGGTCAAATTCTTGAACTTCTTACCATAGTAAGGTTTATATTTTACGTTGATCAGTGGTCCATTGTTAGTTTTCTACCCATGTGTGTCTTCTTCACTAACAACTTAAGCATGGTTGAATGCTTGTTTCGTACAGAAATTGATGTCCCTGAACAGTTCAGGATGTGAAACCTGAAACATGTGTTCACTTATGATTTGCATATTTTCTAAACAACCATACACCAAGTTGAATTCCTATTAGATGGGGCTCTGGGAGGGGTGAATTGGGTATAGACCTAACTTTTGAAATTGAATATTTTTTGATTTCTTTTTTAGTATTTTAGTTGACAACGTCTTTGTTACAAATGCTCAGACTTGGTCTTTATGGATCCAGCATTAAGAGTTAGACCTTATACAGATGTATCATGTATGCTTTTTAAAGACCTGACTGGAGACGAAAGATCCATGGGCCCAACCTAAAGTTTTTGGGATTGAGGCCTGTTGAGTTGAGCTCTATATAGCTACATAGTTTCTCTCTACTGTATGCAGGTGCAAAGGCACATCACATAAGCATACATGATTAAGACTAGCTTTACATTTGTTTGATTATCTCTTGGTCATATGTGAATATAGTGCCATGCTGTCTTTACCAATAAAATTTTATTTTGTGGCCCATAGCTGAAGCTGAATATGGTTGGATGTCTACTAAAAATCACTTTCCACTTGGTATTCATTCGTCAACTCTATTTGACATATTTGGAATCCATTTCCATATAGTCACCACGTGTGCAACTCAAGGCATGGTATTATGGCCAAGATTACATTAGATCACAGATTATAAAATAATGTCTGGCTGTTATCAGTCGTGCATACTTTGTAACTAATTCTTGTCGGTGATTCTTTCTATTACTAGTGGTAACACAAAATTTGGCAATTTTTTCTGCAGTTGTCAGTGTTGGTGCAGCACTTTTCTTGTTTCAACAGTTGGCTGGAATAAATGCTGTTGTATATTATTCTACGTCTGTATTTCGCAGTGTTGGAATCGCATCTGATGTTGCAGCCAGTGCTCTCGTTGGGGCATCAAATGTTTTTGGCGAGTTTTTTTTTTGGTTATTTTTCTGTTGGAAGTTGAAGGAAAAATCTGATTTCATCGTTGGTATGTAATGTTTCATGCTGCTGGACTTCAAACTTATTGCAGGTACAACAATAGCATCCTCTTTGATGGACAAGCAAGGAAGGAAAAGTCTTTTAATGACAAGCTTTGCTGGAATGGTAATTTTATAATGAAACCCTTTTTCTGTTTGAAGCACATGACACTGACATACTGTAGTGCAAAGGTTGAGTTGTGGAATTGCCTCAAATGATTTTTTTTTCCCTATTATTTCTTATCTTCATCAAACTAATTAGTAGCCTCCAGTTTTCCAGATTGTGCATCTTTTGTTCTTTTTGAAATTCATTGTATCAATCTTACTGGATTAGGATTTCTTGAATTTAATAATTCTTAAAAAGGTTCTATATTTCCAAGTCAAAACTTGGATTAATCAGGATTAAAAACTGCTCATTCTGGGGTCCTAGATCTTATAGCTCCAGAAACTTCCACTTACGGAAACACACTTTATATGATTGAGAAAACACATGGTGGAGCATAATTTTGTTAATTTTTTTTCGCTTTGCATCCTGTTAAGGCTATTTCATCTAGTTTAATCTTCTTGCTATGGTTGATGCTTTAATTGAAAATGTATTTTTGAGTGAGTAGGATAGCAAAACAGGATTTGATTTCAGGTAGCAAAAAGTGTGGAGAGAAAAAAAAAAACATGATAGTTGTCTGTAATTGTTCCTGATAACTGCATGTAGAAATCATTGCTATTCGCTTTGAGAAATACTATATGTCACCATTGTTTGTCACTGTTTTATATCACATCCTACATGGATACTCGTGATTGATTCTCTTGTTTTAAGATAATTATTACGCAAATAATGTCATGCGTTGTAATCCGGTGATCTAAAACGGTGAAAAAAAGAAGTGATATATAACAATCGTCTTTGCTTTTGTATGCATGAATTTAAACCAAAGAACTTCAACAAATTACACCAACTGTGCATTTCTTGTGGACTCCTTACCCATCAAAAGGACAAGATATTTTGTTCCTTTCATTATCATTTCATTTATTGATTTAATTTGTTTCTAAATAATTTTTTTTTATTTCTCCTGGTTATCTCTTCTACCCACTTTTTGTTTTATTCCCCTCGCCTGCCAAAAATAAATAAATAAATAAAATAAAATAAAATTCAAAACCACATTTCAGGCTGCTTCAATGCTATTGCTTTCCTTGTCACTCACTTGGACGGTCCTGGCGCCATATGCTGGCATCCTTGCTGTTCTTGGGACTGTCCTGTAAGTTAATTTTATTCACTGTGGCAATTTAAATTAGACAATCAGTGGACAGGATCTAATCTGAGCTTTCATTCTATTTACACAGTTATGTATTGTCCTTTTCATTGGGTGCTGGTCCAGTGCCTGCTCTTCTACTTCCAGAGATATTTGCTTCCAGAATCAGAGCAAAAGCAGTTGCTTTGTCGTTAGGCATGCATTGGGTAAGTCATCGATTTTCAATAGTTGGGTTCCTTTTATGGTGCTCATTTAAATAGTCTTTCGTACACCTTTTTCTTTATTTACGAAGGTTGCTGTTTTTTTTTTTGAACAGATATCCAACTTCGTTATTGGCTTGTACTTCTTGAGTGTTGTAAATAAGTTTGGAATCAGCTCGGTGTATTTGGGATTCTCGATGGTCTGTCTTCTAGCCGTCATATACATAGCCAGTAACGTTGTGGAAACGAAGGGGCGATCTCTGGAGGAGATAGAGCGCGCTCTTAACCCTGCAATTTGATCATGATAATCTTCAGAAGTGTTGATGGTAAGAATAACAATAATAATAGTATCTGTAGTTTACTGACACCGAGCTTCTCGGATGCCAGTCCACATTGCAGAGAATCAAGTCTTGGAGCCGCGCTTGTTTCTTGTCCCCCCATTTTCCTGTCTGTTCCTTTTTGTATTGGACATTTAAACTTGATTGTAACTAGTCTTTTAAGGGCCTGTATGGTATAGTCGAGAGTCATGACTTTGTTGAACCGGGGGGGGTCTCTGAGGCTGTGTGTGAAAATATCAGCTAGGTTTTTTGTCACTTGATTCTTTGATGTTCTGTCAAAACTTGAAACTAAAATTCCACCCTTGGCACATTCTTAGATTCAACCTGTAGTTGGTCTTCATGGCAACAACCACGAACAAAGATTTTGAGCATATTGAAACAAGATGCTAGGGAAAGGACAAGAGTGTTCTGTTCTTTCTTCGGCAGTGTGTATAAGGTTGTATGTAGCACCTTATTTTGAGCTAGGACAATTTCACATTAGCCTCAGCCGCTAAAAAGTTTTGGTACCACCATCAACATTTTTTGAGGCAGGATTTGAAACCTTCCGGAAAAAAGAACAAGACAAAGAACTAAAGAAATAAAGAAGCATGTAGTTTTAAAAACCAAAGTGGCACAAAATACACAATTTTAATAACAATGTCAACATGGCCAGCTAGTATAGCCAAACAAGGTGAAAAAGCATTGGTGGTTCTTTCATTCATGGTTAAATCTCTACCAGGAGCAAACATGGTTTCAGTTATAATTTGTTGTAGGCTGTGTTGGGTTGGATTGGAGGATTTAATGGAAGAAATGGTAATGGAAGAAATGGAAATGGAAAGTGATTGGATTGTTTCTAGTTTGTAACAGACGGTCCAGTTCAGTCCGGCCTAATGAGCTCATTTTTGGAGCCCGTTTCAATAATTTGAATTGTTCACATTTTAGGGTTCATTGAGTACATTATTTTTGTAAAAAATTAAGTCGATTGGATGACGAAAATCACGTATTCAAATAAATTTTGTATGAACCGTTTTTATTTTCTTATTGTACATTTTTTTTTTCATACAAAATTGATTTAAACACATGATTGCCATTATCCAATTAACTTGATTTTTCATAGGGATGATGTACTTGACGAATCTTAAATGTGAACGGTTCAGATTATCGAAATGGAGTTCAAAATGAGCTTACAAGGCCCAACAACATCTCATCTCTTCAATTTGATGAAGGACTGGAGAGAAGCCATGGCCAAAAGGAAATAGAAAGAAAATGATAAATAATTGATTTCTTTCCCTTATGTTTTTCATTATAATCAAACAAAAAGTGAGATTGTATTTTCTTTTCTTTTTATATTTTTCTTATAAAATCTTTTAACCAAACACAGGCCTAGACTTGGATAGAATTATGAATATAGTGGAATTCAATCTGTAGATAATTAGTGGTGATATTAGGTTAGAGATAGAAGATAAATTATATTTGTTTGTGCACTAGTACAATGATATTAGTTGATTGTGATTAAATTTATGAAATTAATTAAAAGCCATTGCTATATAAAAGGTGACCATTGTTTGTAGAGTTATGGGCCAAAAAGCCTTTCTACCTTCAATACCATGAGATTAGATTTCAATATCTCCTTTCTATGGTATTGGAGTTTTCTCTGTTGAGGGTTTCATAATTTCATGGGCTATTAATTCCGCGGTAATTTTTCAAAACATGCTTTATGTAAACCTCACCTCACTATTAATCTAATCCCACTCTTAATTTCTGAAAACAAACAGGGCTCAGATCAGACCTATCCCAAAAGATTCACTATTTTTGTTTGACCTAACCACAAGTATATGCCAAATGATCTACTTGTCTACAGGTAATATTATGATAGAGAAATAAATGTTGTATAGTTCATTGAATTTTTATTACAAAACATTGGCTATCATGTTTTGATTGTTTGTCCCAACATACAAAAAGGATAGTGTCTGTCTAGCGGGTGACATCTAATTAAACCTTATTTTTTCTTTTACCTTTTCTTTGGTTATGATTATTATGGCCCCTAAACAAAATTAGAGCCACTTTTAGCGGTGTACTCTCTCTCTCTCTCTCCCTTAATCTTTTTGTGGCACAACTTGCTCTGGTCCCATATGTTAAAGTGCAAATCTTGCTTCGCAAGTATGACAAGGCCATACCAGTTATTGCATTTTTTTTAATACTCGTGCGGCTACTTTAATCATCAAACCCTCTATTTTACCTCGATCTCATTGAGAATCATATGTTATCATTGATTTCGGGCTGCAAATAGCGACAGTTTTGTTATTATCTTGATAAATAAGCGTATTTTAATCTAGTTGTTTTTTTGACGGTATTATACCATCAGATAACAAAATTTTGGTTCATAATTGTAAGGAAAATATATCATATTGTTATTTTGAAAAGATTTCTTGAAATCCTCGAGCACTATTCTGTGTTTCTATCATGATAGGATCATAAATTGAATTTATATTTGACTTTTTGTGAAGAAAATAAAAAGAAAAATTTATGGTCGGAAATACACTCGTTCAAATTATACTGTGATAAATGTCATCTGGGTTGAAGAGAGGTTGCACTGGCCCAATAATGACCCCCAAACCCACTTCCGCTTGGATGCTTATATTACGCCCAAATCACAAAGTGGCACTCTTCTTGTTCTTGTTCTTTTTTATTTTTTTAAAATCAACAATTGATTAAAGTAATATCATATCATTATAGACACATAAAATTACTATCCAATAAGAGATTATCATTTATAAATATTATACTCACTATGCAAATGTGAAAATTATTAAATTTTTAGTTATATTTGAATAGTGGGTTCACTATCTTTAGTGTTATTTCCAGTTCAAGAAGAAAAAAAAATCTTCAATTTTTTTTATTATTGGTTGGAATTACTGCTATACTAAAGTTTTACTTGGCAATGAAATACATAGAAGTATTGTTATAATATGTTTTCAATTGTATGAAATCACAAGAAGCTTAAGATATGAGAATCACATGACATGATCGCATATTTGAGAGTGCAATAAGAAACTAAAAACAAATAAACTTAAGAACAAAAGATTTCGTGTCGACATTGTGTGATTGGACAAAAGTTAAGTTGATAATGTTTTTTTGGGTTGAAACTAACCTACCATCTTACCTGAAACCCACCTTTTGTGAGCATCTATAAGTATGAACCCCCACAATCCAACAAAGGACCACAACCAATGGGGGCAAAGGATGTACATGGCCTTAGATAATGGATGAGGAATAACTCTTTTTCTTTTTACATATTGGAATTTATTATAAACTCTTGTCTATCATAGTCCCGACCGATCAAGGAAGCACGGACCTTAGGATGGTCCCAAAATGTTAAACGAGAAGTAAATAAAATTTAGTGTGCAATAATATGAAAATTAAATACAAAACTAGTCACAGAAAATAAATGGATAGATAGAATGCTTGAGTAGTGTACTAGACCAATAAATTTTATTTGTATGCTTTTTGTACCCGTTCATTGTGCTACAAAGCATTAATTACAACAAGGGCACAATAGTTTACAAATTTCTGGGTCAAAATGGGGACGAATGCAATAAATGTTAGAAAAGGTGTGACCCCACCAATGAATTAGGGCTTTAAGATAAAAGAATGACACAAAATTTTTGTTTTTTGCCAATTTTTTATAATTGTAATTTGTTTTAATTTTGAAAATTTTACATTGATATTTACTTATCAATCAAAACATTATATTTAAATTTTTTTATTCTAATTTTTTTAATATTAGAACATAAATGACTAATGCTGCACATTTTATAATAGGGTTTAGCAGGAAACATTTCCTACCATCTCTCTTCATTATTCTAAATGTGTGATTTTATAAATTAAAAAAATAAAATAAACCTCATGTGAGTATCTCATTTATACTAAACTGAAAACTTGACAAAATCATACCGCATTATGTAGTTTCAATTTCTCAACAAGTGAAGGGTTTGATCTAGTATTACAGCCTTGTTTGTCATGTAATAGATTTAGCTTAAAAGTTAAAAAGTTACTGAAAAAATTAAAAAGCCTCTAACCTATATCAAAAGGTCAAAAATTCTTTTTCTTTTTACTTTTTACATATCTTTTCGTAAAAAATTAAAAAATCATTTCAAACATACTAATTTTTTTTTATCTCATAGTTTAGTTTAAAAAATCCTAAAATTACTAAAATAGCCTATTTCCAAACGAGGATTAAATTTCACTTCAACCCGACTAGATCAAATCACTTTAACTTGTACCCTTAAGAGCATCTCCAACGGTGAACCAAATTTTTCATCAAATTTGAGTAAAAAATAGCCAATTTTCTCAATCTGATATGGCTTGCTCCAACCGTGCATCAAAAAGGAAGGGTCGACCGGTAAGAGCAATTTTTTATTTATTTATTTTTTTTACCTGTTTGAACTTTTTTTGACTGGCCGGACAACTGGTTGGTTGACCGGTTGGCCCACCCCAACGGTAACCCACAATGAAATGGTAAAATCTCAAGCCTATTCTTAGTTTGATGAATTTTTTATTCCATTCTCATTTTAATACTAATTTGGTGAAACATTAGAACTTCAAAAAGTGACTTTTTCACCAAATTTCAAACCTGATGCAAAATTTAATGAACCGTTAGAGATGGTCTAAAAATGCATCTTTTGAATCAATTTGTTTTATTTGACTAGAAGTCATCAATTCACATCTTAATAAATAGACTAAAAAAGTACATCCATTTTAGTCTTTATTATTAAATGGGCTTAGAGAGGAGTAAATTGAGTATGAACTTAACTTTGGATATAATTTGTACGAAATGACTACTCCAAATCTTCAAAGTTGATTTACCAAGTTTTAGCCATTAAATCAGTAGTTAAATATTGTTATCACTTTCTCTTGAAACTATCTCCAGGATTGTAGCTCCATAATTGGTATAGGTAAAATGAGGAATTACATACACGACGATTAATCAAAATGAAACACTTCACATAACTTGTCAAATTAAATCTGCAACTTAAATGAAAATGAAACTCCGAAGCACCCCCAAGAAAAAAACACTCCACATAAATCTGTAACTTAAATCACAATAGGTGTGTTATTTCACAAGAGTCGTGTAATATGTGAAATGTGTATTAGAGTTATATTTTTCTTAAATTTAAATTTGACAATAATGTTCGAGCTCGTATTTTGTTAGTTTGAACTTTTTATTTTATAGGATATTCTGTATATATTATTTATAAAAAAATTAGATTGATCCGATAATGGTAATATTTTGTTTTTTTGAAAACCAAAATCTATTTGTCTTGAACTAATTTTTTTATAAAAAGTCAACATTTTGACTAACAAAAA